AGTAAAGAGAATATTTTCTACTATGGACACAGTTAAACATTTAACTCATGAAAGTAAAAACAATCCTTTTTGTTTTATGATATATACTTTTTCCTTAAAATACCATATCTTATTTTCTTCCATTAGTTAATTATTTCACATTACTTTTACAATAACCATCTATTTTCTTTTATAATTTTTGTTTTCCTCTGAAGTTTTCAAAGGTTACCTCACCTAGGAAGATAGCAGTATTGCAGTATAACATTGAACCTGAAAAAGTATACATTTGCACACTAGGAAGTTCAAGAAAGTATGTGCATAACAATAAATTGAATTTAAACTAATTAAAAACTAAATTAAAAAATAAAAAACACTGGTTTCATAGATATGAATAAAGAGTTGCAATTCTTCTGGAGAACTTTAATTGCATATTTTGTTTTAATTTAAGATTTAACATTTATTAGAAAAAAAAAGTTAGCTTTTAAAGTCTTTTTCTAAACACAGCTTTTGCTCTAGTTTCTTATACTTCTAGATCAACTCCCCCTGTTGCCCATGTATTGATACAAAAACTGCTAAAATATCTATTTTACATATGCTGTCATAAAATCTTTTAAAATATTTCTCAGTCAAAATCAATTTTACTTTAAAATGACAGTAACCTACCATCTTCTTAATCATTACAAATATTTTCTATTCTTCCATATTTGTTCAATAATCTTTCCGAAGGCCAAGAATAACATATTTCTCCATCATGGATCTCCTTCATTACAAAAAAAAAAAAAAAAAAAAAAAAAAAAAAAAGAAGTGTATCTCCTCCAAGGGTCTCTTTACAATCAGTGACTTCTTGGACACTTCTTGTCTTCCCTAAAGGATATATGTAAATAGGCAGAAAAACCCATAGTAAATATCTCTCTGTTTTGATAAATTATGAAAATAAATATGAAAAATACCCCAGATGCAACTGCCTGAAGTACAGACACGTATTTGAAGTACAGACACATGGACTGCAACTCACCCTCAATATCAGAAAAGCTTTTAATCTCATCAGTCACGCAGAAAATTTTTAAAGGAGAGCATCAAAGAATGCTATCCAAGGCCTTTTTTTTTTTTTTTTTTTTTCAAATATGAGTCACAGAAAAGCAGAAAGCTGTTCTTGGAAAAAAAAAAAAAAAAGAAGTGTAGAAATAGAAAAACATAATTGTTCTACCTGAAAGTGTCTTGGAAGAAATCGCCTGAAGAAAGATTAGCCTTTGTTGCTCTGTACATTTATCCCCTACTCTATAAAACAAAGAATTCACTACTCAGAGAGAGTTTTTGCCTGGAGCCTTCTATCCATCATATTTTAGAGGACTGTGAAAAGCTATCAAATGCACTACCATATGTATATATATATGTACATACACTGTGTACACAATTCACCCTCGGCCCTGAGAAATGGCAGCAAACAGCCACAACAGTCTCAGGTCCACTCTGCAAATAATATAAAAAATTTATTGTAAACTCAAAGGCTTTCACTGTAGATGAATACTACCAGGTATCAGTCAACAGTCATCACTGGCTCAGAAGAGGGAGAAAAGACTTAAACAGATGTTGTGAGGCTGCATAGTCCAGGATGAGCTGCTGTGAAGGACAAGTCAAGCTCTCTTGCTCCTCCTTTGTGTGGTTCTCTAATTTATCAAAAGTGGCATGGATGCATTCACACCCCAGCTATTAAATCCGGGTACAGCTTGTTTCTCAAACTGCAAGTAAACCTCTAAATTCAAGAAAATAGTGAACTCTCCCCTTTCACATTTCCTGTTAGTTATGTGAAGTTATCTTTTCCTTTCCACTCCTCCTACCCCAAATGAACCGGCTGTTGCAAACCCCAAGCCCAGTTCTTCTGGCAGCTGCTTAATGAATATAATGAGTTTATGAATGCTGTGCTGTGCCCTTTCAATGGGGCAGGCAGAGAAACAATAACTGTTAGTAATGGTCATGAATTAGTTCAACAACTGCAAAGCATAGCAAGAATAGATGGGGCCAAGGTCTTTACAAATGAAAAACATCAGTGTTTAAAATAAAAAAAAAAGAAAAAGAAAAAACACACATAGCCAGGAAAATGTGACATGAGGCACAAGCACACTAAAATTTAGTTTGGCCACATACCCTGTTCTTGTTTTTGCTAAATTCTCAAGTCCATATTAGACATACACTGTCATTCTTATGACTATAGTATTTTATGATCCAAGCCAATTGCTTTATCCCTCAAAAACATTTGAGTGCAACACTAGACTAAGAAAACAAGAACACCACTCCAAATGAGTGCTGCTCAACTGACCTGATTCGAATTTTTCAGTTAGTGCAGACAGCAAAAGTAAGCAAATTAAGCAAAATATAACAGTGATTTACTACTACCCAGAATATAGTCCGGAATGAAAAGAACAGAAAATGAAAAGAACAATATGTCGGGATGCCCGGGTTTATATCACTTTGCCCAATTGCTTGAGTATGTTAATTGGGATGGCCATTAGGAAGAAAATACTTCTGGCACACAGGTTTAATAAACTCCTTCTACATTGAGCATAATCTCTAGAAAGAATGACCATCTGTTCTGCCCTGAATGAGAAAAGAATGGAAGTTCACTTTTTCCTTTAAGCATCAATAACTTGTTAAAGTTCACAAGCCTTCCTCCGAGCTTCCTTCCTAGCATGCTGCTAGAGCAGATCTATCCAAGCTACATATAATTCCCACACAGCAGAAATTAAAATACAGTTTTTAAAAGAGTTTTAAAGTACATGTATTTTTATATATATACATAGAGAGAGAGAGAGAAAGTACACTGTTTTTCACTGAACTACAGAAGGCCAGGGACTGAATTTAAGAGTGTCCATTTCTTTTCAAAGTCCTGCCAAAGTGTAACAGGCTTCACTTTGTCACTGGGTCCAGAAATGAATAAACCAATCTTTATTTTAAGGAGAAGGAATACACGTCCTCCATGTTTTCTCTAGGAGCATTAAAATGTTAGGAATGATCTGGAAGTAAAATCTGAGAGGAGAGAAGGGAATGAGTTTTTCCAAGACCTTTTATGTAAGTAAGAGCTGAGCATAGCTGGGGAATCTTAGATGTGAACTCCAGTGAGAATAGTAGTTGAAATGCATGAAAAGAAGCCTCAAAGCTGAGAGGTCAGTTCAATTTACCATATGTCTACAGAATACAGCACACGATTTGGAAAACCAAAAGAATTTAGCATATGAATACAAAACATACTCTCTGAGTAGAATGTAGTATTTTTGCTAAATTAGGAATAATGTCATTTGGAAATTTTCTAACACATTTTCCACTGCATACCTAAAATTTTCCTGGGAACATACAGATCCATTTTGGCTGGAGAGGTTCCCCCAATACAATCACTGATCACAGCCCAATAAAGCAAGTATAACTGATAGTTTACAACATGTAATAACATTAGAAGAATAAGCTCCTTCAGAGTGATAGAAAATATGATGGCTTGTGTCTAAAATCAGCAAAATAATCCTGTGTTTTACTGTATTATATGTCCATTCTGAGCCATCTCTACTTCTGCTCCTGAAAAGCAACCAGATGTCAATGTATTTTAAAAATAAATTATTTTGCAAGAACCCATTTTGCAGCTCATTAACAATAGCTGAAGCACCAAAAAATGAAAAGAACACAAGTGCCCACCTTCTCAATATTCTGCAAATTTGTAAGGCAAAAAATAAATATTTTTCTTCTTCCAGCAACAGAACTAGGCATAAGTATATTTGATCAAAATTTTGCTGAAAATTATTTATGTTTTTCTATGGGCATTGTCTAAATGCACAGAGAGAAAATGAAAGAAAAGGTAGAGCTTACTCAAAGGTTGCCAGAGTACCAGAAGGTAATTCCTCTTTCTCTACACTGCCAAGTTTAAATTCACATCCTGAAGAAGGATGCACCTGCAGGTATTTTCTACACAAAAATATGAAAATATATTCCCATCACCCAAGGTACTAATGATAAGGTTGAAAAGAGCTACTTGCAAGGAGCACTGTTGTATCTTACTGAACCACCTCTGTATCGTGCCAGTGATATAGGAATAACTCCCTTTTGAGCATGAATATCCATTGAGCTGACTTCCAAAAGATACAAATTTGTATCAAATAAGCTCTTTGCCCCTCCACCAGGCTAGCTAACCTGCTCAAACTACTGGATATGTGTTCTCAGCACAAAGAACAGACTGACGTTGTGAGAGGCTCCAGATTTAACCTGACAAAATTGTAAATGGACAATGGCACGGACACCCAGTTACATTTTATGTTAACTATACAAATGAGTCCCACTAAATACTTAAAACAAGCACACACACACACACGCACGCACAAACACAAAACAAGCCCACTGGCAAAATGCAATACTGGAAACTGGAGGATCCTACAAAGAATGTAAGTGTTTACCTCTTGATTACACCCTGGTGTAAAAGTGATTGCGTACTCTGCCAGTGTCACATCATTCACCAACTTCTTCACCTCTTCATGGAAAGTTGAGTTAACAATTCCTTGCCTGCAAAATTCATCATGCATCCTGATAATTAAGTTGTTCCTTTCCTGGCATTTTCGGGTGAGGCAAGCCAGCTTAGCCTACACAGCACAAACACACAGAGGTAGAATTTCATTCCTTGTCTGATATATTCCTGCACATTTTGACTCAAAGCTAAACATTACACTCCTATGTTTCTAGGCCATTCAGCAGCTCTGCACCTTTCTACATGATAACCTGGAAAGGGATTTTCACTTTTGCATGTCTGAGGTCCTCCACTGACAAGCTGAGGAGTACTCATGGATAAAGAATGCTTGTCATCCCACTTGTGCTTAAAGCCCAGTAGCAAGCAGTTTAAATCAGTGGCATTTTTAGAAAGCAGGCACATATGCCACACAGAATGGCTATGATACGCTTGCATAAATTCTGTAACCAAAGGGATAAACCAGAAAGTTTTCAGCAAAATACACTACCTTCAGAGGAGCTAGTGTCAGCTTTGCTTCACTTTTTGTCTTCTGAAGCTCTTTCACCTGAAACAGTGTTAAATATACTGTTTTAATTTATTCAAGAATCACTTTAAGGTACTACCGTAGCTCTTTCATATTTATTTTAGACCTGACTTTCAAGGCATACAGTTTGCATGTTTGTGTGAGCCTGTATCAAAGAGCATAGCATAAAGGAGCCTAAGACACTGTTTGTATACCATTAGGCCCTTACATTAAAACAGTGCCCTAGCATTAACATTGACATTATGTATTACCAAATGCTTTGGGATATTTTTACACAGAGATTTACACCACTGATGTTATTTCACCAAAGCAAGCAGCACATTAAAGATCTGCTGTCCTTCATTATGCATTCATATTCTCATCATTTCTGCAAATCCTCCAGACTACTCCTTTGGGTAGCAGTTTTCCATTTTCTCATCTATATTATGTTGTAGAATGCAAGACCTATATATTCCATGTCAAGCTTTGAAAAGAGCACACTGACAGTTTCCTAAACCTCTGCCACAGGTCAGTGCATGTCCTCTACTATGAAATGAGCCAGCTGGCCCCAACTGTACCTTAAATTAAATTGTTTACTGCTCATGAGCAACCTACTTTCCAATTACGCAGGAAAAAAACAGCAATCTGCTAGATAAAATCTATTTGAGTTATGATTCGACACAGTAATATTTTGTAATAAAGTATAGATTCATTTATATTCATTTTATTTGTCCATTTGTACTTTCATAAAGCTTTAGGTAAATATATTACATGCCTCAAACATAAGATTCCCTTGATAAGAAACCAGCTCTACTGAAAGAGGTCTCCTGGCCCTTAGCTAATAAATCATGGCCTTGGGAAGGAACACAGCAGATAGGGGAGGAGAGAGGCATCTTTACCTTGTGCTAGCACTGAGAAAACAAAGCAAAGCTGGGCATAGGTCCCTTCACTGGAGACATTACAGTCTTGACAAAGCATGGGGTAAAACACTTGCCTGATGCAATTAGGAGTTGCCTATTTATGTGGATAGCACATTTCACCCTTTATTCACCTGCCACCTGACATGCACCATCCATCAGCAGCGACACCAGGCACTGCAACACACTCCCATTTTACTGCCACCACTCTCTTCAGAGGCATCCTAATTAACTCCTGAGAGGAGCCACCAACCCTCTGTACAAGACTGCCTAGAAGTAAATCACTGTACATGACAAGGCTGAAAATGAAAAAATGCAGAGCTATAGAAATAAAAAACCTGATTTATTGTAGAGACTGTAGGATGAAACTTGTGTTCAACAGGTAGAAGAAGCCTGTATCTCTTGTACTTGAGAAGAGTCAGAGGAGCATGTTGTTTACGTTGTATCACAAGATGATGAAAATAACTTAGAAAACTACTTAGTTTGAAGTAGTTTCAGAGCATAACCCTCAGTTCTCATTTGTCTCACTTGGTGACAATCATCCATTTCCCCAAAATAGTTTCCAAAGAAATAAAATTGTGTAAAAATAATACTCTCGTAAAGGAACAAAGTCCCAGGAGGAATTTCCCTCCATCTGACATGAACTGTTAGCTGTAGTTTCACTGACAGTTAAGACAGCAACTCTGTGTATGTTCATGAGTGCATCTGCTCTTGTTTAGCAGGCAAAATACGAGGCACGAGCGTAGAAACTGCTTGGCTAAGTATGTTTGTGCATCCACGACTCCCCAGAACAACTGTGCCATTAAAAACAAATACACATACACATACATATAATAACCACACACCTAACTGAAAATGTTAAAGAATTCTTAACATGTTACAGTAACACCTAGATCAAAAAATAGGTTGCCAAAAATTCTATCACAAGCGCACTCACTTAATCCTATGTAGCATGCTGAGACCACTGGGAATGTGAAAACTCCTGACAACTAAGTGAAGGAGACTGCTCAGCTAAGAACTTTGGCACCACATTGCTGGCATTAGGCTATGGGGATGATAGCAGACCAGGCCCTGACTTCCTTTATAGAGAGCCTATCATTTCTCCAGCACGTTGACCACCCGAGCATTTTACATTTTGCCGTTAGTTCTCTGAAGTTTTTTTCCTCTGAATTTATAGGCCTGCATAGCACTTAATTATCCAAAAAAAAATTCCCAGGAAAAGAGAATATTTTGGGGCTCTCATTTGAGAACAAAGTAGAATCTGAAGTTTAAACTCACATTCATCTACACAGCTAAGCACACAGAAAACTGCTTTATTGTACCTTTTCACAGAGCTGAGCCTGAAGGAGTTCCACTTCATTCTGCAAATCTTGGAAGTGATTTTGTAATGCAGCCTGGTCCCTGAGCTGGGCTTTCAAAGTCAGCACTTGTTGCTCTAATTGCTTACTGGCTATTTGATTTTCCTCCATTTCTTGGGCTTCTTTCACAGTGTACACAGGCTAAAGAGCAAATACATAGGTTTTCAAATTAGATATAGAAAATAAAAATATTTTCAATTGTGCTTTTGGGTGCTAAAATTTGTCAGCATGCATACCAACCTTGAATGTCATAAATTTTTTAATCTGGTAGAAACTGTATGATTTCAAAGATGCACAAACATATTAGCACTGATGTCTCATACTAATCTTAAACCCGTTTTTGAGCAAGGAGTTCTTGATCCTCTGCAAGAGTAGGTATAGGACTGGCATTTCACAGTGCCCCTTCAAGATAAGTATTGTATTATAATCATTTCATACCTGGGGAAACTGGGGCACAGACAGATTAACTGACTAACCTAAGGTCACACAGTGAGCAAGAATAGAATTCAAAAGTCCCTAGTCTCCTGCTCCAGCTTCTATATAATATTTCCCTTGGTTTTCCACGTATATTTATCTCAGAGAGCAAATCCCACTCCCAAAGTTAATTTTTTGTTTTCAAACACTACTAATATTAATCAGATTTTAGAGACAAATTTCATATTTAATACAAAGAAAGAAAATATTAATTACATGAAAAGCAGTATTAAAGGTAGAGAACAAGAGGATGAAGGATCTTCTGCATTTAACTCCTGCTCCCTAACTCCCTTTTTTTCCCACTTTTTTTTTTTTTTTTTTTTTTCAAACCCTTAGATTGAAAGGATTAGTGAGAGCTTTAGATTTATGGCCAGTGTCATTAGGACAGCTCCTGGAAGTGACACTATCAGGTTAAATGTGGCCTAAGAATGAGGAAAATCTAAGGAAAAAGAAAGTCTTGCAAAAACAATTTCTGTTGTTTTGCCCTTATATTAAAAAACAAACAAACAAACAAAAAACCCTGAAAGACACAGCTGCTCAAGCTTTGCTATAACACATTATATTCATAAATCTAAAGAGATTATTGCATTTTAACGACTAAGCTAAAAAATAAATCTAGTCAGATCTATTGCGGTAAAATCATGTAACCTTCTGTAAAATGATGCAGGAAGATGCTTTGATCTGAATGGATATTAACACTGACAGATCTGGGAGAAGAGCTACTGTTCCAGCATGATGCACAGCAACTGTTCATTTTAATCTGTTTTTGGAAAAATCTTTCCAAGTTTCATACCCTTGGTGACTACAATATACTAAAGGTATCAATATCCAGTTTCATAGGAAACAGCAAACTGAAGTGATATCACACTGGTTCTAACACAGATTTTCATACTGCATTTCTTAGTGAAACAAATCCTCTGCACCTTCTAGTTTTAGAAGCCAGAGCATGCTTTCTATCAAAATTTTGGCTCCCTCTTGTGTTAACAGAAAAGAACAATAATAAGTGTTGGACACATTAGGATTGACTAGATCAAGGTGGCACTGACAGTCTGAGACAAAGTATTTTCCCTGTCCTTTTCATCCCTACACAAAATAAAAGGGGGAAAAATTAAAAAAGAAAACATTCCCTGACTGATGAGTCTAATTAAAAAAAAAAAAAAGATGTAGAAAAAAAAAGATTGCTTGAAGTTTAAAGACAGACTCTCTATTCTCTTTTGGATTTTGCTGATCTGCCAACATATTTGGTAGCTCAAAAAAAAAAATCGGGCAAAAAAGAAGCAATTAATGTTGATTTATGAACACTCTGCCAGATGTCTTAGTGAACAGAAGTCATTGGCTGTAGAGCCAAGCTCCAGAAGAGTGAAGGGCAGAAGCTTCATTTAGTAAATACATTAAAGGATAACTAAACCCAAAACTTAATACACTGAGTTCTAATTAAAATGATATCTAGTCTTCAAAGTTAAAATGATGATTAAAATCACCATGGTTAATCATCAATGATGACTAAAATCATTATCGCCTTCGTGTGCATTCAAAATCCATTTCAAAATACAAAATGAGACTGAATCTGATTTTGTGGCTACAGGTCGGGTGAGGAGTCAGGGTTTTGCTGGGCCTAGCGACTCATTTACTGCGCACATTTGACCCAAAATTCTCGGATTGATTTTCAAAGCTGAAGAACAATAACTGCTTCGTCCCTGCTCATCCACATATATTTCTCAACTCCCACCAGAAAACTGAAATACAAAAAGCCAACCAAGTAGCCCAGAAAATTTCTCCAAGTACTCCTATGCTAAATGATGCTTCCTCTGTGAGCAACACCAATGAAACAGAGTTGTAGCAGTAAATCTGCAGTATACTATCTCAATTCTCCTTTATTTACAATGTGTAGTATCAGCACTTTGGAGTTCCAGACAAGAACTAAGATTCCTTGGTGTTAGGAGCTGTAGAACATAAAATATGTTCGAAGTCCTAAGAGACCTGGAACCTGTCTCAAAGACATCCCAACCAAGGTTTCTGGATCTAAAAAAAATACACCCTCACTTCTTTCAAGCACTGGAACAGAAGATGTCTGTGAAATGGAGTTTAGAACAGGAGAAAGGTTTAATCCACCCAACTGCCCTAAGCAGAAAAACTATGCTGGCAAAGTAGTTCATGGTTGCTATTGTGTCAAAAATTATTTATTTTTTATCTAGAAAAATTTAGGTCACATCTTAAGGATTTCACACCAACCCGCAACTGACAGTTTGATGTTTATTAACAGGATTATTTTAAAAAACAAATATTGAAACAAAGTCACACTCTTTGCTCCAGTATTCCCACTCTATTTCCTACCTGCAATGCAATTTGCTTAATTTTGCCAATCAAATCAACTGCCTTTGGTAAAGATATCATGGTCTTATATCATGCCCAATACTTAATTGTAGCATCAGTATTGCAACTGAAAGACAAACCCAGTTCTTGGAAACAACATGGACCTCTGGAACCAAAATATCTTCTCCAAAGGAAGGCTTTCTTCCATGCCATTCACAATACATACCATTAATGTGCAGTGATGCTTTCCAAGCATTTTGTCCCCAGTTTCTTGTTTAAGATAGTCTAATTCTGAAAGAACCTGTGTCAAATGTGTTTTTATTTCTTCATATCTTGTTTCTGCAAAGCCAAGCTCTATGTACCACCTCTGAGTCTAATAGGAGGAATAAAATAAATAAATAAATTACTGAAAGTAGTTAGTCTTGCAACAGTGTCATTTCTAAATACCAGTTTACACCCTTGGGATTGAGCCTGACTTCAACGTCATAAATTTTAAATTATTGCAAATTGTTTCAAGAAAACGGAATTATACCTTACACAATCATCTTATAAGAAATGAGCAAGATACTTAAAGTAACTGCTACAGAAACATATCTAACCACAGCTACGCAGCAAGTATATTGGTTTTTAAACTGGTTTCTAAATTTGAAGGTATCTTGAGTACTCCAAGTAAAGCTAAGTAACTGAAGGTGAATGCACTCTCAGTTACAAAGATCAAGGCTTTGAAAGCAATCGGAGAAAAAGCAAAGAAGATTTTCTCATGTAGGATAGAAGAGTGCATCCTGCAAAATATTAAAGGCTAGAAATAGAGTGGAGAAAAGAAGCACACATACATTGTTTTCATTATACTTCTAAATGCATTATCCCTGCTTTTTATGCACTTTAGTTGTGGTTTTGAATTTTTAAAAGTCAGTAGATCAGCTACTTGCTCAACAGTAAGCTCCTCCTATTATATTATTATTAATATATCACTCCTTCCCCTTCTAAAACATTCTTCTAAGCAAACTGAGGAAGCTGAACAACAGTTGGATCCATGTCCATTATTACTTGAGGCATCCGCACACATATAATCTTGCTATAAGAGTAGTTCTGCTCAGTATTCTGCTCAGATAAGCAGATAGAGGAGACTAGTATTCTGCTCAGATAAGCAGATAGAGATAAGAGCAGATAAAAGCAGGATGTGAAAGCCAAGAAGTTAGGAAAAGAAAACCCAGAAAGCTTCCATGACTGGTATTAAAACTGCAAATTTGCCTTTCACAGGCAAATAACTAGCCATCCAAAAAGCAGTTTCCAAATAGATAGTGTGTGAGACTTCATCTTTACTGCACAACTTTCAAGAGAAGAAGGGGCCAGAAGCATGCTGTGAGCTATCATTGGATATTGCAAAATCTTTTGATAGTCTCAGATTTTACATCATTTTGCCTCTCATTCAAAAACTCCTTCCAATTCAAGTTTGCCATGACCCTCAGTGCTATCACTCTTCTGAGAAATTCAAGCAAATCATTCCTAATGAAGGGAAAGGAAGCAGTCTGCCCAGGGATGACTACGATAAATCCTTCAAGCAGTGTGTCTTTATTAAGCATTTCCCTTCAAGTACGCTACAAGCACGCTGAAGGAATGCAACTTCACCTAAAATTCAGGCCAGCAATGATGGACGATGTAATTCCTCACCTGAGACATTAAAGAGATACACTTTGGGCCTGCAGATCAGAGATCTGTAGTAACAGCTTTGAATGCCGGCAACAAGAATGGCCATGTAAGAAAACAAGGGAAAAAAGCAAATTTGCTTCTCAGAAATATAGAAGAGTAGAAGGTTACCTCCTTTCTTGATATTTCCAATTCCTTTTGCTGCTTTTTTAGTTCCTCTTCTCTTTCCAGTTCCTCTTTCATCACATTGTAGCTTGGAAATGTGCTACTCTGGTTACATGACAGAAAACACCGTGACTCTTCTCAGGCACATGAAAAAGCACACAGATTTTTTACAGAATATTATACATATGGATTAGTGCTTATCTGGAAATATCTCGGACAATTATTCCTTGGTAATTTGCCTCGTCTTTCAAACCTAACTTAAGCAAGTTAGATCCCCAGAACACAGGAGGTTACAGCATTTTTTTTGTATTCCAAAGTTAATTTAACTTTGTCCCCCCAATGGCATTTAAATCTCTCCATATCTTTAAAAGATCCTTGATAATATTCCTTATTGTTACTATTTACCTCTTTTCTGGTGAAATAGTTTGAAGGATCTACAACTGGAATTCTTTTTTCTTCAGTCTGAGTTCCACTACATGCAATTTCAACTTTCTTCAGCTTAATATCATGTTGTTGACTTGTATTTTCTTCTTTTAGTTCTACTGTCTTTTCATTTGCTCCCATGTTTTTATTTTTTCTCAGAACTTCATAGGTGAAACCCAATGATGACATTAATTCTTTCAAGTTATTATTTTCTAAAATTAAATTTGCATTTGCTTTCTGAAGTTCTAGAAGCTGTTCTGAAGTTTCTCTATTGATTTTGTCTGTATCTCTCTTCAGTGCACATTTTTCCTCTTGTAATTCAGAAATTGTTTGATAAAAGTTGGTTTTATACTCCTGAAGCTCTGAAATCAAGGTCTTGCATTTGTCTTGCTCACCCTTTATTTCTAACAAACTTCCCAATAAAGCTTCTTTTTCACCTTCTAGAAGAGAGATTCTTTGCAAATTTTTCACTCTCTCTTGTGCTAATTCATTATTTTTTGCTACATAGTTCGCCTTGTCTTGCAATAGTTTGGCTATGTCTTTGAAACATCTATTTCTTTCCTCTTTCAGGTCAGAAAGCAGTTGGAAATATCTCCTTTTCCTTTCATACAGGGATAAAACACTCTTGGAAAGGTTATTTGATTCCATCTGAAACAACTCCACTCCACAATTCCTACTTTTTTCTTCAACCCATGAAAGGTTTTCAGGAAAGGTTTCAACATAAATCATTCCTGGGTTCATGGTGTTTTCTTCTGAAATAGTATTAAAACATTCGCCAGCAATTTCTTTCTCATTCAGTAAGTCTTGGAAAGAAATATTAGCTTCATCTACTGCTAAAATGTATTGAAAATATGCGTCCATTTCCTCTGCCAGTGCACATATCTTCTGAGCATATCTCTCATTCTCCTCTTGTAACATACAGACTTTTATGGAATATTTTTCATTCTCTTGCATCAGGAGAAATATCCTCTGAGAACATATGGCCACTGCTTTCTGTAAGTCACATATTTTCACATTACATTCATTATCAGCTTTTAGTGACAATACATGGTAGAAATATTCATAAGAATTTCTTTCTAGCAATAACAATTTCCTTAAGTGCATGCTCCTGTCTTGCATCAAGGAGGAAATGTTTACTGGATATTTTTCTTCCTCCCAGCAAAAAGCTTTCTGAGGGTATGCATGTTGCAGTCTTTTAGCAGCCATTATTTGGCAGGAGGAATTCTCCTCTTTTGGATCACACAGCTTCAAGACCCCTTCCTTCTTCGCTTCTAGCCCATTTTTGGAGGGATTTATTGGTACAGTTGGTTTCTGAGGTTGATCTCCTTTCTTTTCTGTTCTGGTGATATCTCTTCCACTGTGCACCCTGTTCACTTCATCAGGGATGCAGATGGCTGAGAGGTCTCCTTGTTCCTCCGTTAATTCAGAACTCCCCTCAAAATGCCTCTTTAGTGTTTTAAAACCACATATTTTAGCATGCATTCCTTGATTGCCTTTGGAATCCCTTCCTTGTTTTCCAGGCTCGAGCATTTCAGTTTCATTCAAAGCTTTGTGTATATCCTCAAGGGCACCGGCCACCTTTTGTGTTCGAGCTTGTTCATTCTTCATTTCTTCTCCTTTGGCTCTCCCTCTAATGTTTTTTTGTTGATACTTTCCATCATTAACATCTTTACCCAAATTTTTGTTTTCATTTTTGTCTTTTGGCAGAATTTGCTTGTCTTGCTGATGCTTTTCCACATCATGTTTTTTTAGCAGGAAGGTGAAAGCAGCATAGGGCATCTTTCCATGAACTGTAGAAGCCTCATCCGAAAAGTCTTTCTCTGAAACATGGAAAATGTCATCAGGGCAAAAGATGTTATTTGCCTCATTGAAATCCAAACTCATCACTTTCTTCAGTGTTGTGGCAGTTGGTATCTGGTGGCTTCCAGGTTCTAAAAAAGCAAGCTGGGGCTTGTTCCTCATCAAAGGTTCCACTAGGGAAACAGGCAAAGCCTTTGCTGGTAGCTTTATAGCTTGCTTCTTAAACAGAGAGGAGTTTTCTTCAACTATGGTGTCCTTATTTATCTCATTATTAGTTAGTTTCTCAGAGCAGGGAGGAAGCAGTCTGGATGCAGAACAGTTTGGTTTATGTCTAAACAGAATGAAAGTATCTTCCAGAGCACCTTTCCTTATATCCTCAAGACTGATCTGGTTACAACAGGAGAGAAAGGTCTCAGAATGAGAAACATGACCCAACAAATACTGTTCTTTCTATAACGTTAATCATATTTTTTTTTTTACATCATCCATGATATATTTGATTACACAAAGGTTTTATTTAATGAAGAAAAAAATTTCATATATGTAACTTTCAAATAATTCAAATACTTGCCAAGCAAGTTTGCTACAAAGATTTATAACAAGAGTAAAACACAAGGTACATGTAAATCTTTTTTTTAGTGTACACCTATCTTCCTCTTGAATAACACCTTTAGTAGATATGATGTCAAGCTATTTTCATATATGAATGTATGTCTATCAGCTCTGCATTTTATCTCACAATCCATGGATTTGCCATGCTCACAAAGATAACAAGAATGCTAGTAACTTTTCTTCTCACCTGCTCAGTCCCAGTTAGGCTCAGTTCCTTAGCAATTGCTGTAGAGGAACGAAAACTGTGCTCCAAAAGTGGCTGAAGTTCTTTCGATAGCTGCTGCATGTGCTCAAGCCAATCACAGCCACATCCTGACGTTTCTGTTACAGTAAAGCACTAAACAACTGAAATGCCATGGACAAAGTCACACGAAAAACAAAAACAAAACCATCTGGCCTGAAATCTTAGAACAAGACATCTTTTCATCACACTAAGCCCACAACTACCACTTCTAGCAGCAGAAAAAAAAATACTTTCTCTAGTATTACAACAGATATAAAGATAAGCACTATAAGACTAAAGATGACAACACAATGTATAAAAAAAACATAAACTCTAAATATAAGTTATACTTGTTTTTTGGTTTTAACCACACTTATCAAAGCACTTTACAGATGGAAAATAGATCTCATTATAGAGTGGAGAGGAAAACTTATGGGTTAAACTTACAGGCTTAAAAACTGTTCAGTGATGGTCTGCATTTACAGCCACTGAAATCCGATATAAAATTTCTATTAATTTCATCAGGAAGAATTAGATGGATGGAATGTGTTGACATCAGATTTTCTGTGTTACATTTAGTCTAAAAGACCCAAGGTGCATGGTAGTCCCAAACACTGTAATACAGCATTGTTTCAGTCAAGACACTTAAGGTACCTCCCCTGCTTATGCATATAGCGTCTCTAAATGCTAGCATCATATGGGTGAATAGTAAATTTTTCACATTCTCAAGCTCTAGGTTCCACATTAGAAGGTTTTTGGAAGGTCATTTACCTTCCTACTAATGTGCACCACAGGAATAAAAATATCACCACTTTTAACGCACAGCAAATACATCAGAATTCCAGCTTGTTTTCATACCAGACTCTTGAGCATGTAGTAGCACAGTTGGGGTTTGTGTTGCTTTGCTTCTGAATGGATCCAAGCCTGGCTCCTGGTTCAGGTTTTGAAGGTCATCCTGCACTAGCTCTCCATTCTTAACAGGAAAAGGAGGAAAAGAAAAAACAGATTATAAGCATATTGTGTATAAGCGTATCACAAACAGGCATATAAATATCCTTTGCTATTATACATTGAAAACATGCATTCATTTGTTATAAATGCCATTAGGTCATAGAATTTTCACATTCACAAACATGTAGGGAAGATCAAGTAGGGAGCAAGACTTTCACTGCTTAGTGTTCAGCACTGTGAAGGCAAAAGGATGACTGCACCTACAGAGGGAAACCGCTATGCAAAATGTAAAAAAATCCTTCAGAGTAAGATTTTCTGATCCATAACTTCACTATAAATTTCACATTGTATTTCTTGACATTTTTATTTGCTCACTGTTTGAATTTAGATACATTTAGAAACTGGTAAATTAGGTGCCTGATAAATTAAGACAGACACAGACAAGTGCTACCAGTTCCTTTTTGCTTGTATTTTTCACTCAGACATAGACTGCAAATGGCATACTGCAGATCTGGCCCTGCTGTCAATTTTGGAAACTAATTTCCAACAAGATTTATATAATTAAATCCCTCCATGAGATGCAGTTCACCTCTGCAGGACAGAGCATGACATCTAATCATATCTAGTAATAATTCACGAAAACACACTTATGAGTAAGGCTGCTTCCAGAAATAACTGATGTGCCTGTCATTTGAATGACATGGTATCTTCTGAGGAATTTCATACCATGTGTATTCACAGGGGTCTAATAATCCTGCATTCACAAGCTACTTCCTGGCTGTAGAACAGACAAATGTTCCCACTCACTCTTTTAGTGAAAAATGGTATCTACCCAGAAAAGTATCAGCATGAAAATCCCCCTTAGACTTCACACTAGTCCTCATTTTTATAGCTGCTGGTGGAGTATGGTGAGCTTAAATAGGATATTTCTTGTAAATGTTTTGGCTTGAATACTGCAAGACCCATGTAATGAGATTGTAGGTGATACTAAAACACAGGACAAGGGGGAAAAACCGCTTCAGTTTTACCA